GACCTCGGGCGACAAAACAAAGAACTATTATAATCAGAAATCTATAACAGATGGCCTCTAACGGCAAAACACAAAACTAAGGTGAAAGAACTCTACTACAAGAAACATATACAATTAAACTAGTGGATTACAAAAGAAATATCTAAATGGCGTAAGAACATCAAATACTGAGAGTAAGAATTTAAGTAAAAATAAAGGGTTACTTATGTAAATGGAATCAAAATATCAATCTGTAAGAAAATAACGGTACAAAATAAAACTTTATCCAACAAAGACAAAAAATTAAATCCATTTAATTTATTTCTCACCTAAATTCTCTAATGCTTTGACGTGGTTCTTTTCCAAGGAAGCATAGGGAAATGAATTGTATTTATTATGTATGTTCTCATAAATGAATATCAATTTTCCTTTTTATATTAAAATCAAAATCAATTAAAACACGATATTATTCAATTAGTGGATTTTAAACAAGAAATATTCTCCTCCAAATTTTCCTGATTTGACGATATTAGGACTTATATTAGCTACCTGCTACCTCAAATGTGGCGAGTAAATGTTGAACAATCTGAAACTCTACAGAAAAATAATGAGAATTTGATTCAATAAATCTGCAATATATCAGTGGTGCTTTGTGAGTCAAAAGAATTATTTGGTCAAGAATACCTGGTCTGGTCTATGACAAAGTGTAACAGTTTAGTTTATTCATATTCAAATTTCAAAATTACCGCTTGCTAGGTTAGGTAGGATATAGGTGAGATGGCGTCACTTGTACGCGTGTTTCTTTCCTCGCGAAGAATCGCGTTAATTTTTCACTTCATTTCCGTTTTAAAGCCAACGAGGTTGTACTTGTTGTAGAGCGTGGCATTGTGAATTCTTCTTAAACCAGTGGGTAATATTTGCCATCATTCATGTGAAATCTCTGGCAATTTTACCTTTTTTATTGGCGTTGTCGAGTAGTGTAACTCAGAAGCCGTTTTCTCCATTGCGAGGCTATATATCTGGTTGAAGTTCATCGCCCTACCCATGTAAGTGAAATGGCGTTGACTTTCTTTTACGTTATGTTATCTAAAATTCTTTCAGACTCACAATTTGAGGTTGGATAATTTCCCTATTTCATTGATTTAAGTATTTTTCATTACCCTCCTGACGATTTCAGGTATGTTATTAAAAATCTCGTTAAGGGAGTGTTACATCTTCATTACTTTTAGGGGGTCCATGTAGTAGGTCAATCCTTGTACAGACGAATCCTTGTATGTAAATGAATTTGCATCTTGCGAATATTCCGGAGTACGAACACCTGTTGATTGCCGGCAGCTATCCGGCGTACCACCGAGTAGATAAGCGCTAACACCTAAACGATACCGGGAGCGACCAGCTGATTGTGGAATTTTCGGAAGATACGATCTTTTACACAACCTTTCTTTTTTAATTGCTTCAATACCGTTAATCTAGTGTAACCTTCCGACGATTTATGATTGGAGCTTTGTATTTTGTTCGCATCTAGTGTTTGAGGTCGTGTCTCTCTTCAAGAGCAACGCACCTGTATTTAACGTATGGGTAAACGAGCCGGCTACGAGTAAGCTATTTTTTTTTTTTGGCCCTTCCGGCTCATATAATCGTTCCGAGCGTTGTAGCTTGGGGTTTGTTTTTGTGTTACAGAACTGGAACTTCGAAGGAGAGCTCTTTTTCGGAGAAGACAGCGTATGTGTTATTCAAGGTAAGATTTTTAATTTACTTGTACCCAGTGTTGCCTATATGAGTTGTTATTCGGGTTAACTTAATTCAATCTTTGAATCCATTGAAATCTTAACTACATTTTTGCTCGATCATTGTTGTAGGGGTCTGGTAACGTAATTATTAGGGAAGTGTTCATGAATTTATTTGGGGATTATTTTTGTCATTTAAAGTATTTGTTATTGTCGTATTGAAGATACATTTTATTTGCCGATCCTGCACCGTTTTTGCCAGGATTAATAAATCAGAATTGCTCGTAGTGAATTTATTATTTGGCTCTCTTGTGTTTTCCCAATTTCTATACAGGAGAGGTCAGAATTTGTGCAAAATTGGGTGGCGCTCAACTAATCATTTCTAGTGACTACCAAAGATCAAAAACTTATGTTATATGCCCAAACGAACAAACCGCTGTGGAAGATTCTCATCTCGAGCCCTTCTTTTAATTAAGAATCTGAGCTAGCTGGCCGTTTATGCGGCGGGGTTTGAGTTTTACAGCGCCGAACTAACCTCACGTTATAAAAGTTTAGTACGAACCTAGAACATGTAGAAATAAAGAAAACCTGATTGCCACTTGCTTCGATCTATTTTTCAAGACACTCTGTTTACCTCCACCTGAGCAATGCGATGACAACTTTGGTAGAATACTGTTGGAGAAATCATAAACGCCTGATGTAGGAGTATCGGCATCACAATGTGACATAGAACGCCCACATCCAGCGATCATCACAGTAACAAATGCATATTTTTGAACATCAGATGACAGACTGTACGATTTCAGACACGGAAAAAGAATGTATGAAGGTCCAATGCGTACTTTTTCGACTTCAAATATTCTAACGTGATACCACACATAGTTTTAGTTTGCGTAATTTTTTTTATTCATGAGATAAGGTTACCACTCTACAAATGGTTAATTTGTTATTTTTAATTGAACGTGACCCATTATTAGATATGTAAAATTATTGCATTTTTTAATTTGATAAAACGTTTAAGTGATAAAATTTTGCAAATGTTTTCTTTGTGTATAATTTTCCTTGCCTGAACAAATCATTTGCTGTAAAACGGAGACAGTTTTGATAAGACAATAATTGATAACAGTTTGTTTACGTAGATTCCTCAAATAGTGGGCTTAGAAAAAGTTGAAGTGGGGTTCACAATAACGCACTTGAGATTGATGATCTCTAGTGTTTGAGGAACATTACAATTGCTTTGGGGACATTTAATTTAGATAGTGTAGGATAGGTAGGTCAAACTCATTTATCGCCAAGGGCCATTTTAAGGGTCCCACATACAGCTGCGGGCTACATCATAAAAAAGTTCACATTAAGAAAATGTCGATTTTTTATTATTAACATAAAAAGTAGGTACGCAAAATAATACAATAAAACGAAAAAATACAAGAGACTGCAGTTGTGTATCTCAGGTGTTTTTAAAGATAAGAGACGTGCGGTTTTCGGAACCCTGTGCCATTTTTTTGTTAAACTTAACAACGTAAACAAACAGAACAAACAGAATCAATCCAACTAAGTGCGTTTGTTTCTTATTAGACACAGGTTGACTTTTTGGGGTGTTATACCTTACTACCGATGTACGATAGAAAAAAAGGTAAAAACTACCTATATTAGATATGTTTACGTAAAATCCAGTAATGTAGTAAAAAAAATTTGAATCATCGTTTCTGAGTTTGAACTCAAACTTGATATTTTTTAAATGTAAGACCCTGTATTTTAACGTCAATTTTTTGCATTTCTTTTTCGCGATTACATTGATGAATCATCCTATATTTTTTTATATATCATATTTTTCAAAATGACATGTTTCTACCGCCAGCCATTTTTATTGAATGACATTGGTTGCCTTAGTTACCATGGATACAATAAACAGAACAATATCTCCATGAATCCATTCCCTACTATTTAAAAAAGAAAAAAATAAGGTTTCTATTAATTTTTATCGATAAGATAAAAAAAAATATATAGTTGTGATACATCAATGTAATCAGGAAAAGGTATGAAAAGCAAATGACGTTAAGATATACAGGGCGTTTTAAAAATACCAACTTTAAATCAAATCTCAGAAACAGCGATCCAAAAGTTTTTTTACCACGCCGCTACGTAACAATATCTAAAATAGCCAGTTTTTATCTTTTTTCTATCTTACATCGATAGTAAGGTATAACATTCCAAAAAGGCAAACTTTTTGTTTTCACCCTGTATCTCAGAAAAAACGTAGTTAGATTGGTTCTGTTTGGGGTATTATACGTTTCGCCAAAAAGTGGCAGAGGGTCGCGAAAACCGCAAGTCTCTACTTTTAAAAACACTACAGTCTCAACCAAAATAGGACACACAGTACACTTGAATTTTATAATTTGCAAACATCGGCAGGTTTTTAAACGGCGGGTCACGTGTTTGACATGCCTGGTGTAGGGGAAAGTTAGTGTAATTTTAGATTGAAGGTGTTTCTAATTGTTTTTAAAAAGTTTGTCACGTTCATAAACCCAGTAAATTTTGGGCCTTATATTACATTGGGCGAGTCAAGTGGTTATTTGTAAAAGAAAAATTATACAATTATTTGGTTTCCGAAAATGATAGAATATTTGAAGCTGTCTCTGATGTGCAGAACTGTCAGTCGGCACACTGCACATACCAAATCAGACGGACTTAGTTATTCTTTTTTACTTGAGATTTTTAGTGGATGACACTTTTAAGCGATTGCTAATAACAATTTCATCTGTGCACGTTCTTACAGCAGGTAGAGAAGGTGATCAATACAAACTTCAAGTAGAATTGAACAAAGATCTTTATGATGAAACCAGCAGCCTATGGGTTTTGGGTCTGTCTATCTATTGACACAGTTCAGTACTAACGAAGTACAGATTTCTACAAGTGTTTTGAGGTTATATACAATGCTCTGTTGATAAGGTCATAAAATTCATTTGTACTAAAATGTCCCTATTGGCTGGTTTCATAATACAAAAAAACAATGTACAGTACAACCTCGTTAATCCGAATAGATTCGGACCATCGACCTTTCGGATTATCGTGGAACTGGTGAAAATAAAAAATTTGGACACAAGCATTAAGAAATAAACTTTATTCTTTTCAACGTCTTCAGGGGTGTCATCGTTGTTACGAGGAACGAAATTATTTCGGAGTATCGCGATTTCGGACTAGCGTGTATTCGGATTATCGAGGTTGTACTGTATACCATGCAATTTCTTCAGATAGTCCTCTTTAGTTTTCAGTATAGTATAGATAAATACTTACCTTAACAGGTTTCATTCGAAATTTAAGATTGTGCATATAAGCGTAAATAGTACAGCATTTACTGGACGAATAGGCCACATCCATAACCTGGAAAAATTTCACATGTATTTGGTAAACAAATCAAAAACTGTAACTGAAAACTTACCAATGTTTTATCATCGAGTTTAGGAGGTTTAGGAACAGGTAATTTGTAACACGGTCTCAAGCCGCAATAAAAATACTGTGTTTTGCCCCTTAGAACCTGCCTCCTATGGAAGATATTAACAAAAGTCCTTTTTATCATTTTTCCAAAATCTGGAACTCCACACGGTTTTACACCATTTTTCGCGCAAAACAAACTAAAAAAATTCATTTTACGGACGCCAGAACAAAATCAGACGAAACACTTACTTATAACTTCTGAAAACTTCAGGTTTCGATATTAGCATTGTCGGAGCCTCCACATAATGCGTTTTTAACCACATAACGGTTTGACTAACAACCGGTCTGCAACAGATTGTCGTTTTCTGCAGCGCATCTTTGATCACTTTGTATACTTTTGGTAAAGTACTGTGTAAAAATAAAACCTCACTAGGTGTAAGTGAGGGTATAACCTCGACCATCCGTTCTACCTTTTCCACAGATTTCGTACTGAAATATCACTGTGTTAAAACAAGCTATAATATTTGATCAACATTAAACTAATTATTTATTTAAACAATGGTCAACAAAAATATTTAAAATCTAAATAACGAAAGTTTATCTTTTAATCTATGTCAATCTTAATTTATTTAGACGCGACAAATTAATTTATTTCGCTCTTCCAAATTCATAACCTGTAAACAAAACCTAATAACAACTCATTAAACTCTTGTCTTACTCTTAGACTTAGTCTTCTACATGTAAGTAAAGGGCTATAACGTCTTTTTCTTCTAGACTAAGACGTGCAATCTTTTGTATTAAAAATGTTTGTGATCAGATGGGATAAAGTAGATTTACGTGAATTTGTAATATTTGTAGAAATTCGACAGCAAATATACTTTTCAGGTTACACCCTATCAAATACCTAAACGTTTTTTTTTATTGGTCTTTGATATATTCTATTATTTTTTGAGTACCTTATTTCCCTTTTCAGAGCTTGATGCTTGCCAGGATTTCCTTTTTGAGTACATCAACTTACTCTAACTATTATTTCTAACTCAACTTCCTTATCGCGCTCCACCTGGTTTAACTCATTCAACTAATTTCAAGGTTTCTACTTGTGTTCATCTTGCTTTCACTACCACAGCGTATGTTAAAATTTTGAGTTTATTTATGTTGTTTAATATATTATTTTATTAACTTGATTTTATTACAAACCAACCCACTATTAAAAAAGAAGGATACAACAATAACAATACTTATGCTAAAATGATACATACCTCAAACATTTTTTGGCAATTTTTTGTACTTTCTCATTGTGTGCCGCATTAGAATTTACTTTGGACTTTCGTTTAATATCAACAGAAGTCAACGGTTCAATATTGAAACACTTAAGCTGTACCAATGCAAATAGTAGTAAATATTCAGTGGATGTCAACTGCTTGACTTGTTTAAAAAATTCTTCTATCGTAATAAAAGATGTGACACTGAAAGAATATGATAAAACAGGATGCAAGGGATAACAAAACTAACCCAGGCTCGGCCAATATCAAGTGTTGAATTAACGATTCGTCTTGATCTCCTTTTTCGACAGAATCCAAATTTAGTGTCGACTCGATGGATGCGGAAACTAAATTGCACAATGAGTCTTGTTGCAAACAGAATTCCCTAAAAGTAGAAAGCATTATAAATTGCAGTAAGGGCGTATGAAAGTGAGATGAATGAGAAACGTTTTTTTCAAAGGTAAACCTTTGACTTCTCGTGCTTTATGTGGTGATGTATGAACGATTTAAAATCGGGTACTGTAACAATTTAACCAAATATTATAAATAACGTGTTGTTCTTGAAAAAGACACTTCTCAGTTGTTAAGAACTACAAATCAGGGTCAGTCACTACAACTAAGAGTTATACGCAAGACAAAAGCCGTTCATAGCATATAAGGCCAATTATGCAAGAAAAGGTTAAGTACTGCTATTTGTGGCGATTACAAGGCTGATTCTAATGAAATCCAATGAACTTCCATCAATCCCCAATTACCAGATGATCATCGCCGACAACAAGTACACTAAGCCTAAATTCCAGAACAACCTACTGGCATAATCCGTAGAAAAATTTCAGTAGAATCAGCAAGCTAACTTTGTCAAAACATGCTTTACTACTTTACCTCACAATAAGATCTTGAATTGACGTAACAGTACCAGATTTTTGTATACTATCCCTATTAATTTGGGAAGGTTTATTGACTCCGGCGAAATCATTTTTATTTGTCTCTAACACAGATTCAATAGGTTCTTGTAATGTATTAGATGGCATTTCACTATATTTAAACAAAAACTTAATAATTCAAACTAGAGTTTGAAAAAATAAAAACTTACTCGACTGTCACCATAGGAGTCAATAAATCAAGCTCATCATCTCCAATTTCTAACGAGGACTCATCTAAATTATTTGGTACATTAAACGGTATGCTACAAAATAATCAATGTAGTGATGGTCACGAGAAATTATTAATTGAACTTACTTTAACACACCATTCGCGATATTTTTCAGTGAATCCGGTTTTTTGCCCATTGTTAAAGTCGCTTCAAGAATACTGGTCAAAGTTGGACTTTTTCCTAAACTTCTTTTTTCTTCTACGGCATTCACATCTTTGGATGGTACTTCGGATGGTACCCTGTAAGTAGCATAGTAGTTTGTGTTGTAGTAGAATATTTTTTGCAAACAAAAATGAATATTATTTCTAGACAAAAAATCCACGTCATGTTATGGCGCAATGCATCACTGTGGTTTCCAGTAACAGTGCTAAGCTTACAACCTTAAATTAAAAACTACTACTAAGGCTATCCCAACTCAAATTTGCAAACCAGTTTTTGGAAAATTTGTATTGAGAGGGGACCAAATTTCACCTCACTCTCAGTCTCTCATATCAATCCCTTAAGTGAGATGATTACTGTACTACAAAAATGATATGGTATAGTAGGTCATGTGACACATCATTTAATAGTATATTGAAAGACAAGTGTTACAATGCGACCTATTGTAATACGACTATCTTGTGGCACGAGTGGCGACGCGAAGCGTAGCCACGAGTGTCCGCAAGATAGAAGTATTACAATAAAGCATTGTAACACGCGTTTTTCATACTATTTTTTCTATTTCGGTGCTTTAATTTAATTAAAAAAATCATTATCAGAAACTATAGGGAACATTAGAACTAACATGTTTTATGTTGGGAACACTTTTTATGCCGTTAATTTTTAGGTTGGCAGCGTAGTAAGACTGACATTTTGAAGTTCAAACATGGAAGTATTGTACCTACTTGTACTAACTAGTAACTGCCAACTTAAGAGATGCAGATGGGTTACAAAAAAAAACGACTATAATCACTGTCTTTGTACAACTGTTTTCGTACAAAATCATCATTGTGACACCGAAATAGAAAAAATATTTTCCATCCCTCTTAATCAGAACATTAATTTTGATTTTCATCACGATCAGAATCATCACCGGGCAAGGATGCGCCATCTTGGGGTATAAAAATATTTACAAAATTGAAAGAGACATCCAAAAACATAGATAAACTAAAAAGGAATTTAGGGACGAACTTGGTACACTCAAAACGTTAGTCATTTATTTGTTGGAGCCCATACCACCTAAGATTTTTTTACAGAATAATATTCTTATACCGTGAATATGACACTAATCAAATTATCCGTCTAAACTAAATACACAAGATTTACAAAGTAAATTTTATGGCAAAGTCTTCTAACAATAAAAGCTTCAACTTCCAGTTGAACCGTGTACGACATTCTATTAATAGTTCTATCATGATTGTGGCCACTTAAGTTAAATAGACACATTACCTGCAATGCGAATACATTTGTTTCATTCATCCATAGAAAATAACTGCCAAATAGATTTACTAGTAGAATGAAAGTACGACCCAAACGAGACATTTAACAGATGAAATACTGCCCCTGAGGCTGTATTTAAAAGGGTGTCTTTATGTCAAAGAACGGGTTCCCACTTAAGCCGAAAATAACGCGCAATTCTCCAAATCACCTTATCTCTTCTAACAGCGATAAGACCACATGCGTTAATTAAAGTTCGTTCGATAACACTGCTTATCGCAAACGACCAGATGTCTCTACATTTGAACATGCCATGCATTCATGCTTATCATGCATACAATAAAATACACACATCTAAATAAACAATTTAAAAAAACAATAAAATATAAACAAGAATTACGCAATTATAAACAATGCCAAAATGAAAAACAAATATAATAAATAAACTCTGTACTTATTTCGTACAGTACTTAATAAATTGAAATGTTCTCATATACAGGGTGTCCCGTCATTATTTTTGATATTTAGACCGAAATAACGTGTAGGTACATTACGTTGTTTATATACCAGTTCGTGAATTGGCAATGTAGCCCAAAAATAAAGTAGGCCCTTTTGACATCTCCGTTAGTTATGAACCGAATTGCATGAAATTCAATATGCGCATAGCTTTAGCCATATAAAACACAATTCCAAAAGTTGAACCTAATCGATCAGCATTCACAGTGCCCTTTGCGCATCTCGACCATTTACAGACCGAATTGCAAACTTTCTTATTTATGAAGGTATTTAAATGAAATTTGATACATAGCCACTTGGAATAAAAGCAAATTTAACGCCAGTTTCAAGATTTGGTTTTGCGCATGCGCAGTGCCAACTTTCTTATTTATGGAGGGATTTAAATAAAATTTGGTACATAACCACTTGGAATAAAAGAAAATTTAACATCAGTTTCAAAATTTGGTTTTGCGCATGCGCAGCTTATTTATGGAGGCATTCAAATGAAATTTCATACATATACACTTTAAATAAAAGCAAAACTAACATCAGATTTAAAATTTGGTTTTGCACATGCAATAGCCATACCCAGGAGCTCGTTTGCTATATTTGTTTAATTTTTATTCAATTTTGAAGTTGCAACTGTCAAATTAAAATCCACGTTAAAAACAAAATTATTATTCATTCATAAAAATAATGGATAATTGGATAATTCCTTACTTAAAACTATGGATTGTTTTGGTGATCGAATCATTTGATAATTGATGTTAATTGAATAACATAACTGATTATTTTCGGTAGTTAATTAGGTATCTAATGTTCAAACTTACAATAATTGTCCAGTTTTAGTCCAACATTTACTTTCATCTTCGTTGTATCTGTAATATGCCAATCCCTAATCATTTTTAGTACAATATAACGTACGTTAGTACTGATTTAGTTGACTCAATGTGAAACAACCCACATAGCAAAACTATACACAGTTACCTTTTACACTTACCCATTGGTAATCAAAAGATTTTTTGCTTAATTTGGTATCGAGTTTGGTATACTATAGTATATGTTTTGTTTTTGACATTTAATAATAATAATAATAATATTAATTTATTACCGAACAGCCAATGCCAAATACAGAGTAATGTTAGACAATGAAAATTTTAAAAATTAAATAATATGGTTTGTAGGTTTTCAAAAGTTCTTTGCTCATATTTTTTATAGGAACTATAAGTTTTAATTGATGTAGGGTTTGAGTGTCGTCAATTAGGTGGTGAATTATTTTATATAAGTATAACATCGAATTAAGTTTGACATTTCAAAAAGCAAAAGAATATCAGAAAGTAAGCGTCACTATTTCGTAGGAAATTAAGATTAACTAAAAAACTATTTAATCTTTTTTCAAATTCACCTTATTTTATTACGAAATAGGAAGTACACTTGCAACAAATAATTAATTTGTGACACTTGTTTACTTTCTGGTATTCTTTTGTTTTTTTTAATTATCACAACCTACTCCAGTGTATAAACAAGTAATCAATTAACGTACTTTCATAACCATACCATTACCATTTCTTTGTGAACACCCTGTACCACTAAATCTAAGTTTCTCATTATCAAGGTGTTGCGTGTTATTCAGATTAACATTATTGATCGAATGTATTTCTCAAATTTAAAATCAAGGTAGCTACGATTCATCAACAAGTTAAAAAGCAATCGTAAACGATTTACAAAAAGCACGTTTCCACTTGCATTCATTTCCCATTTGTAAGATGCAACTTCTGTTAAAATTTCGTAAAAATCCGGTCACAAATAAGAAAGTTAGCGTTGCACATGTGCAACCCATTTTTCACGTGTTACTTTAATCACAGTTTATAAGAAGAATCCTACTAACGAATGTAGATCCGGGCATGCGCAACAATTTTTTTACGCGTTTTTAGTCGGATCGGATTGCGCATGCGCAAAACAAATTAATTTGATTTGGGATTAGTTTCATCATTTCATGTAAGTATTAAAAAAAAATTGGATTGCGCAAAGCCAGAAGTTCTCATGCACAACTGCATACAGACAGACAAACAGAGACAGACAAATTGGCAGACGCAAGACAACAATACAAAATTAGTGTCAAATTATGGTACATGAAAAAATTGATTTTTTACAATCACTTTTTTCGTAAGCAACAGAAAAAAATTCCTTCCTTGGTGCAAGCCTCAACACCATAACAAACCAAATAGAGAAAAAAGTAGAGCAATAACTCTTAAGATAAAAAACTAGCAGCAACCGAACAGCTGTAGACATGGACAGATGAATAGATGGACAAAGTGACCACAATAGCGCTTTTTTTTAAAATTTTATGAAAATGCGCTAAGAAGTGAATAGGTTTCCGTGTAGAAGTTAACAAATGACATGGAAACAAGTAAAAATATACAGGGTGTTCTATTTAAACAAATCAAATATTTATTGACGCCGTAAAAATGTGAGACCCTGTACATTCAAAAACAATTTCTGTAGAAGTTATAATTAACAATTGACAAAAGGTTAATATTTTTTACCAGGTTTGAGCTAGGAAAGTCCAGTACACTGTTACAGGACCCTGTATAGGTAAATGTGCTTAAAGTACAGCAAAATAAGCTGCATGGGAAACATGATTGGTGTGGTCGTTACATACATGAGACTGCAGCATTGGAGATATTTTTCATAGCCTACTTCGACTACTTACATTAAATAAAGATATGTCAGTATTATACAATCTTATGTGATATTACTTACCTTATACCCATTAACTTTAAGCACACTTCAATGATTTTCAAATGGAAATTAAATAAATTTTTTACTTACTCAGCTATTTCACATTCAGATATTTGTTGACTTTCATTAGTTTTATCATCCATTGAACAATTGCCAATATTCTTGTCACTTGCAATTGTTTCACCATTATTTTTCTCGCAAATCTTGTCATCATTAGCAATTTGCAATTGTTCCAAAGTTTGTCCATCTTTTCCAGTTGTTTGTGATTGCTCGCAGGTAAGCGCACCTTTGTCCTGATCGTCAGTAGAAATTTGCTGCTCTGAAGTTTGCACAACTTCCCCATCACTAAACATTGAAATACACACTTCAACGAAAACAATCCCTCATTTAAGTAGCAACATACCAACTTGTTAAACCCTGTAGAGAATCAAAACTGTTGATCTGTACACCCTCAGACCCAATAGCACTCTCTGATTCTTTAGTAGTAATTTCATCGTTGCAACTCTCTGGTAGGTTAGCATCAATGTCCACAGCAATACTGTCACCGCAATCATTTTTTTCCAATGCTTCAATAACACTCTCGACTTGCTTTTCAATGTCGGTAAAGTCATCCGTTTCGATGCCACTTTTCATTACGTCGTCCAACACATCTACGATACTTTCAAGTAAATCCTTTTTCGCCTCTTCCGTGACCCCATTTGCAATAAATGCATTCGTTTCCAAATCCGACAAATCCACATTATTTACTTTGGTCAATTTATTTAATTCCTCTACTCCTAAATGGCTAAAATAAAAAGCGTAAACAATTGGTATTCAAATAACCTTAGAAAAACTAACTTCTGTTTTTCAATTTCCAATTCACTAGATTGCACTTTTTCAGGTGCAAGTGTAATATTATCATCTCTCTCCCTCCTTCCCGTTGAATCGCAATTTTCGTTATTCATAATTTAAAACAGAATGAACAGCTGATTTGCTAATTCAAATTCACTTTTTTTATATATAGGTACATCGAGAAACGGTTGTGTATATTATATCATGACAGTTAACCTTTACTTGAGTGTGAACGAAATGTCGATAAAGTAACTGAACTCCCCGACGTCAATGAAATATGTCCGCCTCGAATTTCTAAAATAAAAGCTTCCTTCGTAATGGTAGCCTTTGCGAAAATAACTAAAGAGGTCTCTCGTTCAGTGCGCGTCTATAATCTCTTGTCATTTTTTATGCGAGAGGGCAGCACGGAGCCTGAAATGGAAACGGTGCTCCGGTCATCGACTTACAAACTACAAATAAACAAAGATCGTGTAAATAAATACGTACCTACATTTCGCACACCAAGCCAGTAGTGCAGATCACATTGCGCATCACTATATGACTTAATCGCTATTGATATGTACAGACACAACTAGTTCGGACTGTAAACACTGAACATTCGTTTCGATCTTTTCTGTAATGTGAGTGACATTGAAAAACTAGTCCGGTCGGGTAGCGGGCAGGCGGGTAGCGTAGCGGCTAAGGCTGCGCCCCACCAAACGAATCCGAGCACGCATGTTCCAAACGGGATGTAGGTTGGGTTTGGTGAAGTGTAAATATTGAATGTCTGGCCAACTGAGCGTGGTGCTATATCTTCCAATTTATTATTATCTCTAGACCAGGGGCTCATATCTATGCCCTAAATTCGTATTAACAAAAACTACCAACTAATTATATTTTTCCAATAGACGTTTGCATGTCATCCAATGTCAGCCTAGGTTTAGTACACCATAACCTAAATTTCAGTTTTCAAAGAGATGCCATAGGACCAAAAGCGCACGCGCGCACCATCATCAGGGAAATTTTTCAAAATATTTTTGGGGTATGTATTTTGGCAAAAGGTCTGTTCAATAAATAAATAATAGCAATAGATTATGGAGGAATAGGTCTAAATGATTATCCTTAGGAAAATATCGTTTGCAAAAGTTAGATAGTATAGGTAAGTATATGGTGGACCAAAAATAAATAAACACATAGCGCAAATGAATTTTAACGAAGGTTATCATATTGGAACATTTTTAATATTACAATTGCGTTTTTACGAAAATTTAATTTAGGTTTCCATTTCCATATTTACCCAGTTAGTCGATCGATGTAAGCAATGGCAAAAATTTCAATAGCAATAACATGACACTGACCTCATTGTATTCAGTATTGCAATAAAAAATGTTCTTGTTTCGTAACCTCACACTGTACGACTAACCTTACCAAGACCAACATATACTTACCACGCGCTATCCTTGCGGGGTGGCGTGATGAATCTGCTACAATAAAATATTGAAACTATTGGGTACATTTTTGATTTTAATTAAACATAAATACAACGTTAAAATTAAAGAATGTACAATATTACTTAATAGTTCAAAAACGGAAAGATTTCCAATTTGAATTCAGTTTTGTTTGCATCAAAACAATTAACTTTTATTCCAATAGTTTTGAGAATGTGATCAATCAATAATCATGATCTTCTTATGATCAAATAAGGTGAACCTGTAATGTGCACACATATCTGATATCTACGATATATTTATACGATATTGACCTCGTAATTGTTGACGTCGCCTAGGCGAATATTATAGCCATTATAGCATATCTTTGGAGCAGGTACCAGAATAATCCATACCTATCGTTATAATACTAATGAAATAATAAAGCTTACGATCTAGATTAATCTTTCATGCATGCTAAAAATACTACATGCACTTCGTGCTGTGCGATAGTAGAATAAGCACGCAATCAACAGTTATCAGTAATACGCGATATATTCGTTCTAGGTAGGTACTTAGGTTAGGACGTATATAGATAGGTACTATTCTACATTCAAGAAACACTGTGTAACATTTAACATAACAATAATAGAACCGTGTGGTGTGAATCAGGAAAAGATGTAAGTATCTGAAGTATTATGCTGGAATATAATTTGTATATTAATCACTAACTATTATAAATTGTTTTTAATAATTTTTATGCATTTACATAGAAATTAAAACTCCACTATTGTGTGTTTTGGCTGTTCGTCCTGTCCGTCTTGGGCCATTTCTGCGGTACATAAGCGGTTTTGAACTACTTTTTATAGAAACTAACAATCCTGAAATTGACTTACACTTATACACTATAGGGGATTTACGATAATTCAACCGGTTTAACCGGGTTGGTAGATTTTGCTATGGTTACAATTATTGAGACAATTGTTTCTATGGTGATTTCTACCAACCCGGTTAAACCGGTTGAATTATCGTAAATCCCCATAGTAATAAAGGGTCTCCTTCCCCGTCCACCGCCTGTATTATTTTGTGAATTGTTTTGTCAATTAAAACATTGTATGATAGCTGTTACCTACGTGCGACTACCGAAGCATGTTAAATTTTGCCACGTGCACTACCATATTTAGATTGCCCGCCCTACTGAAATTTTTAGTCGTTTGGGAAAAACATCAAATGTATGATTTCGGTGACCAAGAACCAGAAATTCTTCACTAAATTGATTAGCGCTTCGGAAATTCTTTCAAGTTGAAAGACATCGACGAAACGAAATTATTATCAGTTCTCGCTCCGTCGTCCAACCGGCAACCCCTATGAAGGTCAGTTATAAGTAATTATTTTTATCGCGATTATCTAAAATCCTTAATTTTATGGGGCAAAAATGCGAGCTTTCTACATCGATACGATGTATTTTCTACGCAATTTCTACTTATTAGGTGAATGAAACGAGCCTTTAGCGATTGCTATGTTTGTCTGTATACAGGGTGACAATTTGAAAACTTACCACCCCCCATATCTTAGTAAATAAACGAGATATTTAAAAAAATCAAAATCCGTTTCGGTAATTCGGAGGGGGAATCACAATGACATAGTTGACGACGCACCCTCTCCAACCCCCTGCGCCCCAGCCACCCCAACTTTTAAATCTTAAATAGTGACCCCCCATGTGTGATACGTCGTTGGAAAGCTCTGAAAAAATGCTTTCCAACCATACCAAATAGCATTACATTTAGGTTAGTAATTATCGTGCAAATCAAAAAATAAACTAATATGATACATTTTCTAAAGTTGGCGTTTATTTTAATAAATGTTGAAAATGTTTTCCGTTATTGGTAAGACAGTATTACTATGCGATCAAAAATGAGTTGCTATGGAGTCGCTCTTTGAAATTTTTGTTACATGAAAAATCGTATTTAACTTGAACTTCCAAAGCCGAGTCGACAGCAACTCATTTTTGATCGCCAGTTATAATTTATTCTCAAACTTTTGTCGAACTTTTTCAAATGTTGGTTTTGCAATATTTCGACATTCTTGAATTATTCTCTGTCTTAGTTCGTCTAATGTTCGCCGGTTGCGTTTTAAATACGACAGTTTTCAAATGTATCATATTAGTTTATTTTTTGATTTGTACGATAATTACTAACCCAAATGTAATGCTATTTGGTATGGTTGGAAAGCATTTTTTCAGAGCTTTCCAACGACGTATCACACATGGGGGGTCACTATTTAAGATTTAAAAGTTGGGGTTGCTGGGGCGCAGGGGGTGTGAGGGGGTGCGTCGCCAACTATGTCATTGTGATTCCCCCTCCGAATTACCGAAACGAATTTTGATTTTTTTAAATATCTCGTTTATTTACTAAGATATGGGGGGTGGTAAGTTTTCAAATTGTCACCCTGTATATGTATTTATGTACCTATGTTCCTCCAAATCCCAAGTATAGTTAGACATTTTTAAAATCTTTTTTATACATTTTTATTATATTATCAAAGAGTAAACTATGGGTACTCTTTGATATTATAACGAATTTTCTAGAGCGATATCACGGTGGCTGGAAGTCTACAGCCGTAGCTGAACGATACGTTGATACGTCCTTGACAAATAAGTTGAATACCGCTAAAAAAAATTCTGTGTTTTCTACTTCCAATATCGCTCCACAGCCCGCAACATCATCATCCGGAACGTCTTGGAGTACTAGCGTATTAAATGCAAATGCACATTTTGAGACCCATGCTCAAACCAACTTGCAACCAAATTGTATAACATTTGTTAATTACGGTACAATGACAGTTAATTCTTCAAGATCTACCACAAAAGTTACACCGCCAAAATTCGACGTTAAGAAGAAATCTTTCGGAGGTAAGTACTAAGTAGGTAGGTATATGGAATAAATAGGCAAATGTGTTAATATTCTTTAATGGCTAATAGGGATAGATTTCGGGCCCATTGCCCATCATCAGGCCGTGCTGAAAAATCTGTTAAGGGTTTACTTACCAAAGCATTTGAAGAAGGCACTGATCCGTTTCTCGCGGTGTTAAATTATAACATTACTCCGAAGCAAGATTTTCCATCTCCCAGTATTTTGTTAATGGGAAAACGATTAAGATCAACATTGCTCGTTGCCAAGAGTATTTTGATTCCAAAATATTCAGCAAAAAAGGTTAAACAAACATTAAAGTGCAAACATAAACAAAAAGTACACTATGACAAAAAATCTAAAAAACTTTCAAAGTTGTGTCCTAGACAAAAAATTTTGATGCAACAAGGAATGAGACACTGGAAACCTGCAACAGTGATTCAAGAATCTGGACCCAATGATTATTTGGTTAATCTGAACGACGCTGTGTACAGAAGAAATCGAAGATTCCTAAAACCACTTAATATAAATCAAAAATTGGATCACAAAAACACAAGTGAGATACAAGATGGTTTTGAGCAAGATACTCAATCATCGACTTCCAATTATCTTCCTTTTAATGACTCTTTTGTAACAAAAGAAGATGATAGTGATGAATATGTTGGAAAAGGCAATGATCAATATTATGGAAATACCAGAGAAAGCAGATTAGTAACTCGTTGTGGTCGTGTAGCCATTAAAGAATATTAACCCATTGCCTATTTATTCCATATACTTACCTCCAATATACCACAGGCAAATAATGGATAATCTTTCCTTTAGAATTAAATCCTGCTTACTTTTCAGTTATTTTTACTTATTTATTGTAATGTAAATGCTAATAAAATTTTAACCTAATGAATGTAATGGTCGTAGATAAAGTATAGTATTACACTCGCATGTTATGACTCTTATTCACTCAGTTTTCTTGCTCCACTCGCTCGCAAGCTCGCTCGCTTCGCAAACATCAACCTCGTGAAAAATAAGCTTCATAACATGCTCGTATAATAATATTATACTTACTATTAGTAGACTGTTTCCAAGAATGCTAGTAGGTAGATAATAATAAATACCAAAGATTCCCAATTGGATAAAAAAGAACGATACGGTGCTCGAACATGAATTTGGAAATGCTGACCCTATACGCCCTAGATCAATATAAGTAGATGCTACTTCCTATAGGTAAGTTACGCACTCTATGTCGGGCAGTCAGGTCCACACGAAAAGGCATGTACTTAAATGTTAACGTGTAGGAAAATATCTCCTCTATG